TTCGCGGGATTCCCGCCTCGCTTTCCTCGCGGGTTTACTCAGCTTTTTGTAACGCGCGAAAATCAACTGAGTCGGCGCGAGCGTTCACCTCTCTCTCTCTTTCTCTCTCTCGTTCTCGCACTCTCTCTCTCACTCACTCGCTCTCTCTCACTCACTCTCTCTCACTCACTCACTCACTCTCTCTCACTCACTCACTCTCTCTCGCGCGCATCTCGCACGAAATATAAAAATCCGTTGAGGCAAAATAAAAAAAACCCGTATGTGTAGCTCGAGCCGTAAACAACAACAACAAGAAAACAATTCAGAAGAATGAAAACAGACTCGGGTCGCGTTTACCCAACAAATAAAGTACGGTACGGGTTTCGTTCGCTTTTTTGCGGGTTTATTCGCAGAAGAAAGAGAAAAAGAGAAGCAAAGACTGTTTTTGTCTTAAAATGAATCTCTTGTTGCCGTAGATACCGCTCACTGGCATCTCGAGCGTAGCTTCTTTTCCCGCCCGTATTCCGTCAAGCCCCGCCTACTTGCGTTGGGATTGGTTAATAGTAGGCGCCTCCTGCGCGGTGATTGGCTAAGTGGTTCGTACTCACTCGCAGCCCGAAAGCTTCTCGAAGCGGACTGAGTGCACTAGTAGCCAATAGCAGCGCAGGAGAGGCGGGGCTTGTGGACGGTGGACCGCGGGTGGCGACTTCTGCCTTCTGCAGTTTAAAACCGCTTAAAAAGTTTTTGTTTTTAAACTGCGGCCTCGAAAAGTTACAACGGGACAAAAAGGAGAGCGGTTTCCGGGAGTCTTATATTAATGATGATGATTAATATGTATTTTTATTTAATATTCCCAAACGAAAATAGAAATGCAGTATCATTTGTCACACCAGTAAAATTTATGGAAGCCCATTTCCGCCTCTTAAAATAAAATAAAAATATCCAGTACCTAATTATTTTTAAATCTTAAGTGAATTGCCATGCCATCATCGTGCTATACTAATTCATTATTTTCAAATATTATCTCATTATTCTGAGATGCCAAGTCATTATTTTGAGATACTAAATGAGAAAAGCATTTCAAAATGAAGTATGTCAAAATAATGACTTATCTCAAAATAATGATAGAATCTCAAACTCATGACTTTGCACCTCAAAACTATGGTAGTATTTTAAAATGACAGTATCTCAAAATAATGACTCAGTATCTCAAAATAATGACTGCATTCAAAAATAATGACAGTATCTCAAAATATTGACTTAGTATCTCAAAACAATGATTTTGCATCTCAAAATAATGAGATAGTATTTCAAAATGACGTTGCACCTCAAAATAATGATAGTATCTCAAGGATTATTAAGTATCTCAACATAATGAGATAGTATTTCAAACTAATGACTTAGTATCTCAAATTAATGATAGTATCTCAGAATAATGACTTAATATCTCAAAATAATGATAGTATTTTAAAATATTGACTTCACCAATTCACTTAATAACAAAAAATAAATAAATAAATAAATAAGTTACAGATTTTTGTATCTTAAGTGGCAGAAATTGGCTTCCATTTGATATTTAATTAAGGTGAAAAATTATAACAAAGTTTCCAAAACACAGGAGGCTAAATGTGTAAAATTTAAGTAAGTTTTTACTTAAACATCCCTTTACTTAAGTGAGCTGAGTAATATCTCTTCAGGGAAATGTTTCAGTGGAAAGTGAAAATAACACTTGTAACTGTAAACTGAAGTTTCAGAGGTTTCTGACAGCTCCAAAGAGTTAAAAGTACAGCTTTAAAGAGACCCTTAAGTGTTTACCTTAAAATAAAGACATATTTCAATTGTTTATGCCAGAAAAAAGGACTTATCTGGTTTAAAACTGAGGAAAATAAAACAGAAACCACTTCTACTTATTGTAATGGGAGACAGACACAAGATGAAAAATACATTTAAAAAATACAGATTTTAAATAACATACCTAATATCTGCTGGGAAACTGTGATCTGTCTTTGTGAAACTGTCTTTGTGATTGTAAAAATGATTATGGTAATAAAGGTGCTGAAAATAAAATGATCTTTAACTGTGATGATCTCTGTGTGTAAAACTCATGAAACTATTTGATTGTAAACTTTTATCATCACATTTATTGAGATTTAACAATCAGACTGAAACACTTCAGCTGAGACAAATTCAGTTGAATAATTTTATTTTTATTTAACATCATAAAACGTGAATCTGGTTCCCACAGCGGACGTCAGCACCAAGGAAAAAGCAGATAAACAGTCTTTTCACACACGGCCCACTTTAAAGAGAGATTCAAATGAACCTAAATCTGATACAAAAAAACAGAACTGAGAGGAGTCACATTCAAAATCAAGCTGTGGAAATATAGATAAAAAAATACAAGGTGGGAGTGTCTCTCAGAAGTCTCAGACTAATCAGCAAATCCCCTTTGAAAATCCCAGACAAAGGGGAATTCCACCCAATTTAAAACCGCTGCGTAAATATGATGTAAACAGATTCATTCAGAGCGGTCCGAGATGAAATGATGGAAAGGAGAGAAACTTACAGACCCAGATTTCTTTACAGTGGTGGTGATGGGAACCAGGGGTCGCCATGACTACAACACAATATATATAAATATATATATATATATATATATATATATATATATATATATATATATACACGTGTGTGTGTGTGTGTGTGATATTCCTTGCATCTACCTGTTTTTTAAGAACTTTTCAGTTTTGTAAGTTTCTGTGTTTACTTTGTTCAGTAGTTCTCAGTGTCTTTCTTTAGCTCTTGTTGTTTGGTCCTGATTTTAGAACCCGAAGACACTCAAACGTGCACCCTGCCTCCCGCGTCACAGAAACAGTGGCACACCTGAATCAGTTCTCATGTTCTCTTTAGGGACGATTTTGCCTTAAAACACCCTGCAAGTACCTCTCCTCCCTAACATCTACAGTCATAGGCAAAAGTCAACTGACACATTTTGTTGATAGTCTAGGAGAAAATAAGTGAACACATCCTCTACATTGTTAGAAATAAAGGTTCTGTGCAGGTGCATTTTTCATTCATCACGGTATGAACAATGTAAATGTTCCCTCAAAGGGACAACAGTAATTTTAAGGTCCAATTGTGCACCTTAACTAAGTTCTTCCAGGTGAAAAGTTCGTATTTGTACCTAATGTTTTAAAACAGAACAATAAAATAAAAAGCCTGGAGACGAGACGGGGAGTGTGGAGTCAGTACAACTTAAAAATTATAATTTCAATGCAGTATGGTACAGTTATGTTCCCTGACTAAAGGTCCTGAGATGATTGAGGGTTCCACCCCAGTGACAGTTTAGTACTGTGAAGAGCGTACTGGGAAAGGAAATATGGCATTTTCTGCATATTTTCTAAAACGTGGCCTGTTGAAAAGTTTAGTTATGTTTTATTTTCAGCAAATAAACAGCAATTGTGCATGAAAATGTGCAGCAGTGTGTTCTCTGTAGAGGATGTGTTCACTTATTTACACTTGGCAAATCAACAATAACGTGTCATATGGGCAGGGGTGCGCAAACTTTTGCATAACATGAAAAGTACTGCAAAACAATGTTTCACATCAGGCACCATATTCATAACCACTTAATGTAATAACTTTCTGTGATGGAGCCTTTAGAGGTGGACGTCTGGTTCCTATCACCACCACTGTGAACAATTCTGACTCAGTAAGTTTCTCTAGAACCGAGCATTTCACACCAAACCACTCTGAATCGACTACGTTGATTCAAATCACCACACCCGAATAATGCAGAACTTCCCCTTTAATCTAGAAATACTCTCTTTATTTGTAAACTATCTGTTCAGTAAACAGGCCTAAAATAACAACCACAGAATATGAAGTAGTTTATGCAGAAAACCCACAGGAATTATGAACTGAAAGCATCACATTAGGAACATCTATCACAGTGAAGTAAGAACACCAAAGCGTCACCCAATAAATTAGAAAATAAAGGAAATGTGTAAACAAAACCACACCCAAGTTTTATGTGAAGCCACTCGGCGCAAGTCAAGCTGATTATTATCAATTATTATCAAAGTATTAAAGCCTCAAAGCTGATCCACACATCATCAAGTGAAAAGTGCTTCCTTTCGTATCCTACAGCGCAGGGAGTGAAGCAGCTTGTCGTAAGGGCACTGTCTTAGATCTTTCTGGAACATCTGGGACAAATTTTCATAGTACCACTTTAGGAGTAATAGACTGACGGTCCCTGTAAACACTTTAGAAAGAAATGATTATCACACTTTCATTTGGACGTTCAGTCTGAAAGCTGCACATAATTAAAAACTTATTTTAACAACTTTGTTTAACACTATTTTAGGGAACATGTTGCTGCTGTCGGACCAAAATCTTGTATCTCTAAAATGGTAACTTTACAGGAGAAGGAAAAAACTTAGTTTACTTTTAATGTAAGTCAACGGAACCAGACTTTTTTCCAAGTAATGTTGGGCCGGTTATTTCGGTCCATCCATCTTGAAATTTACACACAACATAAAGGACAGTAGGTATTTTCAAATTATGTGAAAAACTGAGGTTTTGGTCCGACAGCAGAGATATACTGGGAGTTTAATGAGGTCTTGCTCTTTGTTTAGTAAAACAGTAAAAAGACATTTCTAAATATATAAAGCTTTATTCATTACGACTTGCAAAAGTAGTTCATCTGCCAAGACATGTTTGGTGTCTGAAGTCTTCAGTTTTGCACTGGAGCTGCGAAGCTAATGTTGCTAACAAATGATAGAAACTAATTACCATTTAAGGTGGAACGGGACAATTTGAACAAGAAGCTGGTGAATGAGAAACTGACTTCAGCCGTGTAGAAAATTGAATAGTTACAAGAAACTATTCTACTTTTTAGTAAAAGTTTCCTGCTGGAGATGTGAGAAAAGCAGCTATAGCTGATCTAAAGCCTAAAGCAGAGCAAAGTAAGTCTGCGTTTTTTGTTTATATCATATTTTTTTAGCCTATACTAGCACATTACCATATACGGAGACATATTTACAGCCAAGATGGTAAAATGGACATAAAATGCTGTGGCTCCCAAGGTGGTTAGAGTTTTGCTGAGAGGACAAAATGGCTCTTCTTAACATTTGTGTTGCCGACCTCTGGTCTAGGCTTAAACACTCTTTATAACTTCAGTGCGACTGGGAAAGGCTAAACTGCTGTAAGCTGAAAAGGTGAATGTATTGTTTTTATTGACATTATAGAAACTACGGATTCAAAGCAGGATGTTTTTGCCACTTAGTTTCCATAAGGACGGTATGGACCTGGGAGTGAACAGCATGTTTTGAAGCTTTAGCAGTGTTAGCAATAATCAGTAAAGTTTAACGCGCAGTAAATAGACCATTAAGATGCGTCTTATTTGGGCTTTACTGAACAAAGACCACTATAAACTCCCAATATGTGTTCCTCAATCTTAACGTTGCTGAAATTTTCACTGTATACTTTGGCTCTTGGCTGCGTCGTCACATCAATACTCACCAATTTCTATTTAATTACTGTTATGATTGACAGGTGCCAATCACACATCTGAAAATCTACCATCCTGCCAAATTTAGTTCCAGCTCTCGTCTAACAAACATGCCTCTAATACTCAGATACTCTGTAGACACTGATCACACAGGCTGGATTAATGCTCGAACTGAAGTCTATAGAACGGAAGTTTAAATATGCCACAGGCCCCACCCCCTACAAACAGGCCACTCCTCCTCAGAAGGGGCTGCTGCCGCTGCGGCTGATAGCTTCCTGAGCTCCTTTCAGCGTCTCTCTCTTCACACACTTCCAGAAGCCGGACACACCCTGGTTAGAGCGAACCTGCACACACATGAAAACATACACTTTCAGAACATGCAGGTCAGAGCAGTGACAGTTTTGCACTGGAGCTACGAAGCTAATGTAGCTAACAAATGATGGAAACATGACCACCGATTGGCACCGATAGCCTAAATCAGTGGTTCTTAATCCGGTCCTCAGAGATTCCCAAGAGAGTCCATATTTTACTTTATCCTTAGGCAATGAGAGTTTCACTGGACCAAGAATGTGGACTGTCTGGGAGTCCCTGAAGTCCGGTTTGGTGAATCACCACACATTTACCTCAACCTGACCGACTACATTTGTGACGGGTTTTGTGGTGTCAGACTATCTGGGGACAAGCATGTACAAAAATGGGTAAACCAATCCAACCGCTTATGAAGTAGGGGGCAATGGTACGCTGGTCAACACTGGCGGATAGCAAGCTTATTGCCAGTGGGGAACCCTCAGAGAAAACCTATGACTTGTGTGTTTTCATTTGATAAAATCCTTGCTTGTGTGTGCCAGTTTTACAGTGACTATCAATAAAGAGCGTAGAGTTGCCGTCGCTGTTTTCCATTCTTAACAACTAATCCGAACCAACTTAAGCTACAAATTATTCACAGTCAGTGACGCCACTTTTGTTTTCAACCAAAACTTACTAACGAAATAAGAGTATTACTACAACACTGGCAGAGTTTAAATACAACAACCAATAAGATTTTCTACCAAAACTAAAACTCCCACTGAAAAGTTGCTCCATGACGAGCTCTGCACTACGCAAGACCTTGATAAGAAAAGCTACGGTTTTTATTGAGGACCCCGCTGTTACTTACAAAATGTCTGTTGCTGTAGTACTTAAACCTGGGCTGACTGGGGCAGTGGTCTCCAACCTGTGTCCAGTAAGCTGCCCCACTCCTTACTTAACTCTAATACATCTGATCCAGCCAATCAGAGACTTTAGGAAGAGGCTGATGAGCTGGAGCAGGTGTGGCAAACTGTGGTTGGAACTACACTCTGCAGGAAGGCAGCTCTCCAGGACCAGTGTTGAAGACCAGTTTTAACTAGAATGAACTTTAAGTTGGCTTGAAAAAGCCAGCTAATTACTTTTAAGACGTTCAAATGGTAGAAGACGGTTGATGGTTGCTAAAGTGTTGCTTAGATGTTGCTAGGCGGTTGCTACAGTTTCCAAGGTGGTTGTTAACGTGTTGCCAGGTGCTACCTTAAACTGCTACTTTAAATGCACTGCCACTTTAAATTCAATGCCACCTTGAAGTTACTTCCACCTTAAATGTAATCATCAATTAAATTCACTGCCTCCTTAAATTTACAGATTTGTTTTCAAGGCAACTTAATGAACAATAGTTTTGTCATTATTATCTTACCCTGAGACCCCGCAGAACTCTGTCTTTCATCACGCCAATGAACTCTTTATGGCTCAGACAGTTGTCCCCGTCCACATCGAAAATTTTGAACACCGTGTCCAGAACGTTCTCTGAGAGTTCCTCTCCCGTGGCGATCTTCACTGCTCTCTTAAACTGAGCTGCAGAGAAAAATATGCTGGTTATACAATGTAATGGACACTCCTGGATGAGGGTTCTGGAACGAAATATCAAAGCCCTGGAAGTCCAAAGTGTTTACGGGCATTTATTACAACATCAGCTACAACATTGAACACATAAAACTACTTAGATCCAGAGTTTGAAACATGGACGTGTGGCCAACTACAGAGTGACGCACAATTTCAGCGGTCTGTGTCCTCTTCAGGGTTCTACCGCCAGGGTTTCAGTTGTAGTGCACTGTAGTCGTCAAAGTCAGACGTACTTAGATGTACTAGAGGTTCTCATTAACCATTTAGTTAGTTTCCAGCTTTCAGAAACGTTCTTTAGAGAGAACCGTAAGAAGAACTACAGCGATAAAAGTTAATGCTTTCTGAGTATAAAATTTCCAGCTCCTTTAAAAGCACCACTGAGAAAACGACTTTCCAGCAATACAGAGAGGTGTAAAGTGCTTACCCATTCCGATTGGCTTGTTAGCTTCAGCAATCATCTTCATAGATAAGGCAAAGTCCTCCAGGTTATTGGAGAAGAGACAGAAGGCTTTAAACTCCTCAAAGGTGATGCTCTAGCAGAGAGAAAGAGGCGCACAGGGCAGGAATAACTTAAAAACAACATAAATCAAACCTGAATACAGTTGTAGCAATGCTTATTACATATAGGTATAACAGTCTAAACTCACAAAGTGAGTGAGCTCTAATTGGTGGGCTATAAGCTTCCATTACTTGTTAGCTACATTAGCTTTTTAGCTCCTGTGCAAAACTAAAGAAGCAACTTCAGACACCAGGCAGGGATGCACACTAATGCCACATACTTAAAAAGATGGTTCTTCAGAAGGCTCCCGTGTAAAGGAAATGGTTCTATATAGAACCATGAACACTCAAAGAATTCTTTGTACGTTTAAATGGTTCTCTGCATGGTGAAAGGGCTCTTCAGATTAATGGAGAATGTGTTGTACACCCTTTCTGAAAAGGGTTCTTCTATTATTATGATGCCAAGCTTGTAACAACAGTTTTGGGTGCTATATAGAACCCTTTTCAGAATCTGAAGAACCCTTTCAAAGAACCCTCTAAACATGCAAAGGGTTCTTTGAGTTTTCATGGTTCTATATAGAACAATTTTCTGTACTAAAAAACCACTGAAGAACCATCTTTATGTGTGCAGAATCATTATCTGCAGATAATTACTTAAACATAATATCAGCATCAGAAAGATGTTTAGATTTGACTGATATTTCAAACTGATATATAAATCACGTATTTATTGAAATCCAGGGGAGCATAATGTCACAGTACCTGGGTTCCTACATTAAAACACCTACATTGTACTGACTTTACTCTATATAACACAAAATGATGTTATATAGAAAGTTATATTTCTCCCTAATCCAGGTAGATATAAGCCCAGTTTCTACATTTAATTAATGTTTATGTATCGACATCAGCAGATATTGGCATCAGCCCACAATTCCCACATCAGTGCATCCCTAGCTTTAAGACAGCGAGCATCATCTGCGGTTGTGTTACCTCTCCTGTGGGTATTCTCTTCCGCATGTTTTCCAAGTACGCCTCGTTGTCCTCTTCGTTGGTGTAGTACAGCAGCCACTCGGCGAAGTCTTCTCTCCTCATGGTGTCCATACCCTTAGAGAACTGCAGGAACTCCATCTCCTGCACCTCCGCCTGCAGGTCCTCCATGAACCTACACACGACCAAAACACAACCTTAAAACAACTAAACATTAAAACCTTAATAACACCAAATTGCCCAATAGGAATGTTTCATTTCTCTTCCCCTATTGGACAGGCTTGACTGGAATTGGCTAAAGTTATCAGGATAGTTAAGAAATCCCGGGAGCCTCACGAAGCAAGGATTCCTGACTACATTTCAGCTTCACAAAATCAAACAAGTGGAAATGCACTTGATTCGTTTTACAGGGACTGTTAACTCAGGTTTAGATACTCAGACTGTAGTTAATCTTCGCGCCCATGACGTTTACCACAAACAGCCAATCACATGGAACATAAGTAGGAGTTAAACGACTTGTTTTATTAAAAAATAAAAAATAAAAATAAAAAAAGGAAAAAAAAAAATCATGGTACACAAATGTATAGAACATATACGTAGAACATGTAGCATAGCATTTGAAAGTACATTGCTATATTATAATAATAAAATAACAATAAAAATGTGTTTTCCTATATCAGCTATTACTCTTTTCAAAAACCTCATTATATCCAAAATTGTTAAAAATGTATATACAGCATTTTGGACTAAAACTCTTCATTCATATCAGTAAAATGAAACGCTGTTGCTACAGCCACCGTGCTGGTGTTTACTGTTTAAACATAAAAGTCTCCAAAGTCTCCACAACTAACCTGCAGAACTCTTTGTACTGGAGTTTGTTCTGGCCCTTTCGGCCAAAGAAGAAGGCCTGGAGTGTGGTGCTGGGCTCGTCGCCGTCCTCTGCGGCCGCAGTCTGGATGAACACAGGAACCCAGGCACATAAGAACCCAATTAATTCATTAGCCCCACACACTCAAGATACATCAACATCATTCCATCTAAATGACCAGAGCACTCTACAATCACTCTACTGTACAGCTAACAGCTAAATTCAAGACGCGTGTTGTTTGCCAGTGTAATTTAGCTCTGTATGAAAGTGCTCTGTGAGGAAGATCTGCTTCTTATATACGTCTCCTTGTTTTGGTTTGTTTAATTTATTTAAATATGTGTAAAAATGATGCAGAAACCACACATTATCATAATAATCATTATTAGTATTGACCATAATGTACTGATGAATAATCATCAATACATTATGGCCAAGATTCGTGCTTTGAAATTAGTTGCTCATTAGACACGTTTACATGCAGCTTGATAATCCGTTAACAATCTGACTAACATCTTAATCCAAATATGTCCACGTCCATGTATACACCTAAAGCAGAACAGACTAGTACGACTGAGGCCATTCCAAATTTCTATCCAACTGTATGAGGTGGGTAATCCTGTAAATATTCTGTTGAATAGAAGAATAATAGCTGTGTAAACGCCTGTATCTGATTACATTCCCAATCGGAAAGTTCAAGTACGTTGTGCTCATGTACATTCGCGTCAGAGCGAAAGTTTGTAACGCTCAACATGGTGGGAGCAGAAACTGATCTGCAGAGGTGACGAAGTTTATGCTTCATACTTGAAAGACTTAAAATAGTAAGCAGAACGGGCGGCCATTGAGCTTGCAATAATGAGGCTGTTCAGACAAGTAAATGAGCAAATGAACGACAGGGGGTTTTACACTGCTTCTCTCACTCTGACTGGACTGTTGTCTTGGTAACGCTTGTTGTCATGGTAACGTCTACACTAAGTGGTAGTTTTGGATCGGATTACTTGTAATGTGCATGTAAACAGAGATTTTCATCAGATTGCTGAGTAGAGTGAGAATATAAACACATCAGTCCTAATCTATTATCAGAATGAACTAAATTAGATTGCTTGTTGTCAAAAGTTGAACCGCAGAACGGTTCATACTGCTTTCATGATAAAATAAGCATGGACGACCCTGAAAAAGACGGCGTCTGAAAGGCAGCACACGTTGCTCCAAAATGTGTATTCTTCAGGTGTTGTTAGTGCCTTCGCAGAGTACTAGTATTTACCCCTTAATACTCTCATACAATTACAGCTGCTGGCTTTTGAACTTTACACTGGTAACAATCTGGACGGTCCATTTCTTCTTGGCCTGGAGAACACAATGTCTATTCTTTCCATAAACAATCAGAAACGTTGACAAATCAGACAACACCACACGTATCCATTGTGCATCAGTTAATTTCAGATGAGCTTTAGCCCAGAGAAGTCAGCAGCGTTTCTGGACGTTGTTGAGGCTTCTACTGTGCATAGTACAGGCATTTGTGGACGCATCAAAAACAGCGCTTATTGAAAAAGTATTCCTGAGCCCACGTGGTGATATCCATCACAGAAGCATGCTGGTTAATGCAGTAACCATCTGAGACAGTCACAGGCATGATGGGAATGACATTATGCACTGTAAAGTGTGAAACACCTAGAAACCTTGCAATCCTTCAAAGAAGCCTTTCCTGGATGCTCCTGTTATACCAAGCATGATTGCATCACCTGTTTAAGAAGTTTTGCTGGGGACATTTAAGCATGTTATTAGTCTTAAACTACCCCATCCCAGCTTTTTTGGAATGTGCTGCAGCCATCAACGGCTGTGTTTACATGAAAAGATTTTTGCCAATTTGATTGAATACATTCTGATTATAGATTAAGACTGAGGTGTTTATCTGATCACTCTACTCAACAATCTGATGGAAAAATCTTCGTTTACATGCTCACTACAAGTAATCTGATCCAAAAGTATATGCATGCATAGAGAACCACTTAGTGTAGACGTTACCATGACAACGGGCATCACGTGAGTCCAGTCAGAGTGAGACGAGCAGCAGCAGCGCTTGTGTATTTAATTACTTTAAAATGATGTCAGCCTCAGGAAAACGTCCTTCACATGTCCTTATTAAAGAAGGCCGAGAGGAGGACGTCGTGTTCTGAGACACATAAGCTGGACGTCCGTCCCACCGCCATCCTTTAAAGATCAGAGCATAAACTTCGTCTCCTCTGCAGACCAGTTTCTGCCCCGCCATGACGAACGGTATAAACTTTCACTATGACGTGACGCACATGATCAGAACGGACTTAAACTTTCAGATAGGGAATGTAATCAGATACAGGCGTTTACACAGATATTATTCTTCTATTTGCTGGATTATTTAAAGGATTACCCACCTTGTTAAATCGGATAGACATTGTATTCCGAATGCCCTCAATCAGACTAGTCTATTCTGACTGAGTTGTATACATGGACGTATTCTATTCCAATTGAGCTATTAGTCGGATTATTAATGGATTATCAGGCTGCATGTAAAAGTTTCACAAATATATTTCTTTGTCTTTGTATTGTTTTCATTTAAATACAGATCAAACTGAATTTACACATCACTGCTTTGTGGTTTACATTTCACATACTGTTCCAAAGTTGATGTTTGCACAAGCCTAACACTTCTGCATCTTTGGTCTAGAATGAAGGGTGCCTTAACAATGAAACCGAACCCACCTCGGCTGCATCTTTTGAAACTTTCCTTTGTCCAATGATGATCTTCAGCTTTGGAAGAAAAGAATTAGGTCAGTTTACCACTTCAAAGACACAAAATGTTTACCATGAATTGAGCTTTGAGCTACACACCTCACAGACAGTTTTACATTTAGCAGAAGGCATGCCTGACCACATACCTCTCATTCATCTGAGCAATCCCTCGTCAGCGTTAACAAAGACACAAGGCAGCACGGGTCAATCTACAGGTCACAGTGTCCACAATACCTACACTTCTCACCAACCCACTACTGCACATTCCACTGAACTGACCAAGGTTTCGTTAATCAAGGCCCTCGAAGTGTTACTGTAAGATCATCTATATGACTGAGACACAAAACTGATCCTAGATCAGTCGGGCTCTTCTCAGGCACTTGATGCATGAGAGCAGTTCTTTACGGGGTGCGAGATACAGTGCCAGCATGCTACGCTAGCGAGCTGTGCTACTTTGTTTCCTTGCTTTTGGAAACCAAGGCCACCAGACTGGGTTCATGCACGCCTGCATGCTGTACATTCGCCACGTGCTAAAATGGCGTTTCCATACTTTCCCTTTAAACCAGGCTCTTAAAGGGACGGGCTCACACTGGTGCAAGATAGGGGAAAAAAATAAATAAAATAATCACCCCTGGGTTTTGCTTTAACTGTTGCCATGGAGACCGAGAACATGGGGAACATTTCCAGCCTTAGTAAGAGACAGATCACCACAGAGCCAGAATAGGGGAAATAGGGGATGATGCTCATGAATTTTTCCTCTTTTTCAGACGACACATGGCACAACTTAGACAACATGCCATTCTTAAGACATGTGGGCTTTGCTAAGAAATATTGAAATATATTTCTGATTTAATATAACATTTATAACAAATGTATTCCTATATTCAGAGCAGTGGAGATATGGTGATACTGTACCTTCTCAAACTCCTTTTTGTCCACCTGCTCGTTGCCGTCGATGTCAAGCATTTTGAAGGCGATGTGGAAGCCTGTACGTGGCTCTGCAATCACATAATGCAGTTCGCTTCAGTTAGTTAGCAAACAGAGGAGCAGCCAGCAGCTATTCCAGAATGTTCTCTAAGCCACAACACTCTCTAACACTGTTTGTGGAGTTACACTGCTGCAGACTTACGGCTCAAACCCTAAACCAACACGTTTGATCCGATGAATTACCATCCTCAGGAGCTTCTGAATTACAGGAGAACGTTTTAAATACTGTTTAGGTTTGTTAGATTAAGGTTGGAGGCCTGTCACAATCATTACATACTGTAATTATTCAAGCTGACGGTAATTATTGTCCATGATTGTCCACAGCTGCTATTTTTCAAATTGTTTGGCGAAACATATATTTATGTTACGCTAAAAAGAACGTAAATTAAATGTGTTTTCATCTGGTGGTTTGAAGCAAATGCATGCAAATAAAAGACAGCAGAAGACATATTTATGGAGACACGTCGTGGACTTAACAGCAAAAATTCCAGCTTGTGACTGGTGCTGTAACCCCTTTAGAGGGCGGTGAGTGAGGTCTGTTATTTTGATGTTTGTTAACAAGGGTTTTAGAGGGCGCTGGTGAGTAACGTTTATTTATTAGTTGTTAACACCTTTAGAGGGCGGTGCTGAGTAATGTTTGTTTATTGGCTGTTTGTTAATAACACCTTTAGAGGGCGGTGCTGAGTAACGTTTGTTTAGTGGATGTTTGTTAACGACACCTTTAGAGGGCGGTGCTGAGTAACGTTTGTTTATTGGGTGTTTGTTAATAACACCTTTAGAGGGCGGTGCTGTGTAGTGTTTGTTTATTGGCTGTTTGTTAATAACATCTTTAGAGGGCGGTGCTGAGTAACGTTTGTTTAGTGGATGTTTGTTAATAACACCTTTAGAGGGCGGTGCTGAGTAATGTTTGTTTAGTGGATGTTTGTTAATAACACCTTTAGAGGGCGGTGCTGAGTAATGTTTGTTTAGTGGATGTTTGTTAATAACACCTTTAGAGGGCGGTGCTGAGTAATGTTTGTTTAGTGGATGTTTGTTAATAACACCTTTAGAGGGCGGTGCTGAGTAACGTTTGTTTAGTGGATGTTTGTTAATAACACCTTTAGAGGGCGGTGCTGAGTAATGTTTGTTTATTGGCTGTTTGTTAATAACACCTTTAGAGGGCGGTGCTGAGTAATGTTTGTTTAGTGGATGTTTGTTAATAACACCTTTAGAGGGCGGTGCTGAGTAATGTTTGTTTATTGGATGTTTGTTAATAACACCTTTAGAGGGCGGTGCTGAGTAATGTTTGTTTATTGGATGTTTGTTAATAACACCTTTAGAGGGCGGTGCTGAGTAATGTTTGTTTCAGCTGTATCGGTCATCATTTAGGAGCTTCTAAACAACCAGGAAAGGTGATCGACATGATAGCCAGGAAGCAAAATAGCTCATCAGCCAATCTGGCCTCTTCAGGCTAGTATGTTAAAAGACGCATACAATGCATATAGAGACAAACTGCTAATCGCAAACGTTTATATGGCAACAATCATCAGCTAACACTTCGAGATCGTGACAGGCCGAGCTGGAGCTAAACTCAGCAATTAGAACCTCCAGAAAGGCTTTCGGTTCCCACTGAACTCTGCAGGAGTGTGACTTACAAAGAAGAACCGCAGAGAACTGTGCTAATGACTGAATCCCAAATGGCCTAGACAAAGTACTCTATTCAGAGTAGAAGCCATTACGTTATGGCTGATAATGATGGTCATAACTGTGTTTTGAGAAGTGGGGAATAGTATGGTAGTCCATGCAGTGGTGTTTTTCCAGTGCTTCACTGATCCTTTTCGCCAACCTGAACCAGAGTAAGTGGCTTCCTAATTTAAAAAATAATGGAATTCATTGCCTTGGATGACCCACTGCTCTCTGTCGTCAAGAATGTCGGATTGTGTGACAATACATATAAAACCGTTTACATAAAAACTTACTAATAATCACAGTATGTTGGCCACAACATGTGCATCACAATCTGAAATTCCCAGTGAACACTCGGTCATCCAAGGCAGTTAATTCCACTGTTTTTAAGTTCTTGGGTGTTGCATCCCCTCTTGATACTCATCATGAAAACACGTTAATTTCTGGTCTATTGTCCCTCATAGAAACTGTGACACAGTTACACGTAGCTGATATTTCCACTGTTGATCTGCTGCAGCTCAAACTGAACGAGTCTGCGCAGTAGAGTAAGAAAAACAGGGTTTTAAATCACTTTTTCTCAGTCATTACTACTAAAAACATTTCTTACAGACATATTTAAACTGTTTTCTTTCCACTTTCTCTGTTTTTCAGAGAGCGAACTTCTAGTGCATTCCTAACATATAGATACATAAATCATACTACAGTTGGCCTGGAAACACTTTTTTGTTTCTGATAGCGTTAATGATATCGAAATCTTGAGCAGCAGCCAATACCAATTTGGCATTTTGATATTCTTCTCTAAAAACGACTGAGCTTTAAAATAAGACGCTTTTAACTGAAGTGCTTCATTTAAGATGAGCATCTAACAGTGGGCTACCATGCTGACACTACTTAAACATTCCATTAACACCACAGGATCCTATCAGCCCCATACTGATACCTGGCATCAGACCAGTTCCATTTCTATTAAATACATATCTTTTAATGTATTATCAATGCACTGTGCAGCTGCTAGCATTACATGTTTAACATCAATGTTTATTATAATGTTGAGGACTCACCAAAGACTATTGCTGCTCAGTCTTGGTGTCTTTTTAGAAAGTGTTCAAAAAGCACCTAGTGAAATCACAGCCATGCCTACACTGCAGGATCGAGAGAAGAAGGAGCCATTTGAGATTCAGCCAACCAGTGAAACCACAGATCTCATGTTCTTCACTAGAACAGGAAGTGAAAAGCAATCAGTGACCACTCTGCTACTGGACAGAGAAGTGAATCACATTAGCGCAGCTAAGCTTCACAAACACCGCATTCCTGGCTTTGTTACAGCTCCGTCAGAACACTAGAGGGAGCTGTGTGCCCAAAAGAAGCTTCTCAGAACAACAAAACTCAACAGTAAAAGGTGGAAGGTGCTTTTAAGAGCTGATCTAGGGTCAGTGATCTGTTTGTGTTGTAGTCATGGTGACCCCTGGTTCCCATCACCATGGTGACCCCTGGTTCCCATCACCACCACTGTAAAGAGATCTGAGTCTGTACGTTTCTCTACACTGAATCATTTCACATCAAACCACTCCGAGTGACTCCGTTTACATCTTAATGACTGAATTATGCACAAAGTTTGGAAAATCAGTGGAGTTCTCCTTTGACTCCACTATAAGATGCCAACTGCGCCACTTCAGAACCCCATCTAACTGTTCTCGAACACTTGTTTAATTACTTACTGGTGAGAATGGTGAGGAGGAACAGGTACTCAGTGTAGGAGATCAGCCCTGTGATAAAATAAGACAGGAATAAGATACGTCAACCATTAGAAGTCTCAGTTATCGCAAGTGATAAGAAAAGAAAGTAGTAGCTCTTTATTGATTACTCATTCATGGCTGACCTCTACATTTTTGCCATGTTTACTTTTTTTTAACATCTAAAATGGAACAAATTGCAGACCCAAACCTGTTGATACAGAATGTAGACTGAATACAAATAAAACTCATTATATTATAATGTAATCTGGTATGTAATTAGACACTTACCCTGACAAATATATGAGGTTACAAACATTTGTCAGTGAACGTGTGACGTATAACAAATAATTTGATATTTTAAGGTAACAATTGAATGTATGTGCATGTCAGTCTTTTCTATCCATGACTGATTGTTAGTTTTCATTGAAAAACGAGACTTTAGTCACAACAGGCCTTCCACCTGTATATACAGTGAGCTCTCTGTGTGTGTGTGTGTATATATTTATAAAAAGGCACATATATGAAGACTAAAGGTACGATTTTCAGTGTGCTGTTCATACCATTGTCTCCGATTCCTCTGAACAGATTGCTTCCTCCCTTCGCTTTGGCGGCCACAGCCAGCATCTTCTCCACTTCCTGTAGAGGAGCCAATCACATTACAGCACCACTGTCATCTGTGGAACTTCTATAATTTTATTACATACTGCTCATCCAAAGCTTTACAACATGCACTCACCAAGCACTTCATTAGAAACACTACACTAATACTAGGTCGAGTCTCCCTGCCTCAATTCTTCATAGCAAGATGATGGAAGCATTCCTTTCAGATTCTGGCTCTTGTTGAAACGATTGCGTCACGCAATTCCCGCAGATTTTTCAGATGTTTTCTGCTGTTGTAGCCCATCCACCTCAAGGTCTGAAGTGATGTGCATTCTGGGATGCTTTTCTGCTCATTACAATTGTAGAGTGGCTATCCAAGTTACTGTGCTGCTCACTGGATGTTTTTTTTTACTGCACCATTCTGAGTAACTCTAGAGACTGTTGTTTGTGAAAATCCCAAAAGGTCAACAAGTACAGAAAGACTCAATCCAGCCCGTCTGGCACCAACAATCCACAGTCAGAATCACATTTTTTCCCCATCCTAAAGGTTGATGTGAACGTTACCTGAATCTGCTGCCCCAGATCTGCATGATTTTATGCACTGCACTGCTGCCACACGATTGGCTGAATAGACGATTGCATGAATGGGTATATTACAGGTGTTCCTAATAAAGTGCTCAGTGAGTGTATATTAGGGGTGTAACTATGCACAAAATTCAAAACCATGGTTCAACAGTGGTGTCTAGAATATATATATATATATATATAATAATAATAATAATAATAATAATAATAATAATGAGTTTCTGAATATGTGCATATTAATATTACAGGCATAACAATGCATAGATTTTCAGAGACCAGGATTCAGATAAATAAAATTTCTCCAACAGAACCTTTTTAGTAATAAAAATAAACCTCAAAAATCACAACCCTAGATTTTATAAATGCCCAGTCATTTGAGCACTGATGCATGCATAATTAAGCACCAACCCACTTTACTCCGATGGGATGCACTTAGATGCCTAGTTTTAGTCACTGAGAGAAGAAGCCGAGGGGCAAATCTGCAATCTAGATACATATCGAAATCATTACATCCCTGCCTCATACAGCTGTATGGCAAAGTTTGAACACCCCCCGTCATATTTTGTTGACTTCCTAAGTGAAAATAAGTCAACGCATCCAGCCAAGCACACCATCTAATCTGGATTAGGTTTCCACTCACCGCTTTGGTTAGATGCTTCTTCTGAAATTTACCTTCACAGGAAAAAAAAGGCAAAGGTTGAAACATCTGGGCAATAAAACATGGGTGTGAACTGCTTTGAGCCATTTAACAGACACTATCTGTGCTGTAAAGACTGTTTTAGGTGGGTTTGTTTGGATTAGAACAGGTGTGCAGGGTTGAAATAGTTACACAGAAAAGTAATGCAACACAAATGACTGATATGTGAGGAAATAGTTCATCAACTAATTACTTAAAACTACAAAGTGATGTTTTTACTGATTACTTACTGGAAACAGTCATTTATTAACTGTTACTTTACTTCTAATTTATTCTTCAAAACCCCAAGAAATCAGTATCAGTTAGAAAGCAAAAGTGAAATTAGCTGATCACACTAAACGTCATTTAAAAAGCACATCAGCGTCTCTGCCCCTGGTTGCTGTATATGAGCTGACGTGCACGTTACGTATCACACAGATTTCAATCTGATACACTGGAGGTGCATTTGAAGTGTAAACGCATTTATTATGGATTATTCAAAACATAATAGAATAATACGGCCCTCATTACTTTTAGATCGGATGCAGTTACTATGTGAAGAGTTGAGGCCATGAAACACTCAACATGATTTCTTTTCATGTAATTTATTCAGACAACAATAAACTAATTCAAACGTCTATAACTCTCGGGGTTTCACACGTGAAATGTGATTTTTCGGATGGAAAACTGCAACATTGTTTTATTCGTCCTCGTTCAATTTTTGCAGCGGTATGAATTTACTAACCAATCATGGTCATCTCTGCTGTTGGCATGACGACAACCAAGCTGACGGAGCAGCTGCGTTCCAGCAAACAGAACTTTTCTCACAAATGTCTGAAGGACCAGAATCTCCAAAAGCAGCTCAAACTGGGCTACAAACATCTGAGTTACAGCCTGGGAGGAAGTTCTCAATGGAACAGCTTCATTACTTCATTCAGAAGCTAAAACACTGAGTGTGTTTACATGCACTTAATAATATGATAACTGCAGAAAATCAGATCTTGTCAGTAATCCGATCAACGCGTTTACATGCACTTGGGTAATCAGATAATGGGAAACTCCAGGTCTACGGGCAATAACTGGATTTCTGCTTTGCAACCCTCCAATAAACTCACAGAAGAAGACGAGATGTTAACGAAACATAAAACTCAAGACTTCATGCTGCGGCTTTTATTTTGAAACAATCCGCCATGAACATACATGATCTAGAATATTTAATATAATCCTTCATTTCGTCGAGAATGTATCTGGTTTCAGTGTCGCTCTAAAAGTGTTTTGCTGCGTCTCTCAGCAACGCTGCTTATTTTCGGTACCGCCGTCTGTTTTCACACATGCTCAGACTGAGCAATCCAAAAGAAATCAGAGTAAGAGTTTACATGCACTGAGAAATCTGATTACTGAGCTAAAATCCAGCCTCTTTATCAGATTTCTTAGTCTGATTTCTTCGGAGTATGATGTTTACATGACCATTCGAATAATCAGATAACTGCAGAAATCTGATTATGATCGGATTATTGAGTGCATGTAAACAAACTCAATGTTGACATTTTTATTGTACTAAATACAAACTGAGTTTAATGTATATCTGCGCTTTTCTGTGACGTTTCCTCCCACAGCTGTACTTTCTACTACCTAGAGCGCAATGTTAACCAGCTACCAGAGTTAGAACCGATCTCATGGTTCTTATTAGAACGTATAACGTTAGAGAAAAGGTGCATATTGAAAATCCCTTTTTTCTTTCATGACTAAACGTTTGAAACATTCTGACTCACCTTTAGTCAAAATCTTATGAAGTTACAATCCAGATACAAAATACATAACATAACCAGGTGGAGGAGTCTGTAATGTGTTACTCCACTCCAGGAAAAAGTGATTATGTTACTTTAACGCGTTTCCCTGACACCACACGTGTGTGTATTCTAAACAATACAGGCACCTGTGTGTGTGTGTGTGTGTGTGTGTGTGTGTGTGTGTGTCAGACTGCTTTATGTTTTTCTTTGTGATCTGGGTGGGTGGAGATGAGGGGTGTGTGTGGTGTCCAGTCACTCACGGTCAACGTCCTCTAGCATGATGGAGTAGAGGAAGTCTCTGGGCGTCATATAGAGCTCCTGCTCATAAATCACGGAGGCAAACTGGTTAAAACGCAAGCGGCGCATGGAGACGGAGGAAACCGGAGACGCTTCATCCTTTTACACACACACACACACACACACACCACACACACACACCACACACACCCACAAACACACAAACACATACCAACACACACACACACACACACACACACACAGGGAGAGACTTTAGAAAAAGCTCTAGAAGAGCTTCTTTAAATGCCTAAACGTTCATCTTAACATACAAAAAACAGGTAATCAACCGCTGTCCTGTGGTCAGAAAAGTGACCAGTGATAAATGAGGGGAGCTAATAAACTGTGCATCAACAGAACTGTAACTGCACAAGTATGTAGTGGACCAATTACTAATAAAGTCTCTAGTGATTAAAGTAGGTGTTTCTAATAAAGTGACCAGTGAGTGGAAGTACAAGGCAGGTGTTTCTAATAAAGTGGCCAGTGAGCACACAGATGTCAGGTTGTTCTCTTTCCTTACCAAAACTCTAATAAACACAGTTACAAAAAGAAATATCTATATTAACAAATAAGATATAAAATAAGCTACACTGGTCTCATAAATAAACGAAGCGAATGTCAGAAACCTGCCTGTCTTGGCTGATGGACTACAGTAGGGGTGAACGTGCAAATTTGATTTTTTGGTGAACTATTCCTTCAAAAGCAGGTACAGCAGTATATCCTGCAGGATGAGGGCTGCACTGGAGTTTCAGCCACAATCAGTGAATTTCCAGAGTTAGTAGGATCTGCTAGACCTGGTTTAGTAGTAAGTTCTGATGCTAAATTTGGTACTAACGACTAATCTAAACTGAACTGAACTGAACTCAGGTGAGTCAGAACAGGACTATCAGCCAGCTGTGCTGGACTGCAGGCCCCACTGGGACTAGACCTGGACTCTCCGGCTCTGAGGCTTCATTTGAACTGTTTAATATGAGGATGAAGGTCAGACTGACACCCAGAGCCGAATTAGAGTAAAGCCTGTCGCCTCTGCGGTCTGAGGGTCTGGGGGTCTGTCAGACATAAACACTGAGAAACTTTTACCTTCTCCTGCTCGGAGCACACAGCCCGGGTTAACAGCCTCCAGCGCGGTTCCCCCTGATACCGAATCAGACCACCGGCGACCAGACAGCCCACCAGCCCGCCCCCCACCGCGGGGCTCATCCTGAGGAGCCGGACGGACCATGACCGCCTGAAAAAGCTCCTCAGACTCGGAGCGAATCTGCCCAGCGTCGCCATTTCAGCAACGGGAAGTTTCACCACAAACTCTTATCGGCCGAGGCGGAGTCACACTGACAGCGCACTACAGCGCCATCTGCCGGAGGTCTGGCGAACCTTATCGAAATAGCCGTACACACTTAAAGGGGAATTCCACCGCTTTTTCAAAATTTCTGTTTAATTCAGTGGTTAGATATAAAGTCATTCAGATTGGTTTGATGTGAAATGGGTCATCAGAGAACTTAAAGACCCATATCTTTACAGTGGTGGTGATAGGAACCAGAACTCCTGGTGTTTACACTGCAAATGTAGCCATTTTATTTACTATCCAAAACCACCGCTGAACCTACACCTGTCTTCTGAGTTGTATATGTAATGCTGATGATGGTAAAATAGTGGTATTCCTTTACCATGAATGGATTAAAGATTGTTTGATTGAAATACGTTTAAACCAAACCTTTATCACAAAGTTACTGTAAAACAGTGTCGCGGACAGCAGGCAGTTCATTCATAACCATTTCATTTCATACCTTTCTGTGAGGAAGCTTTTGGGGGCGTTAAACTCCTCAGACGTCTGGTTCCTATCACCATCATCACTGTGAACAATTCTGACTCTGTAAGTCTCTCTAGAACAAAGTGTTTCATACCACTGCAGGATTTTGTTGATATGTTACGCATTTAATTATGCATAAATTTAGAAAAATCTGTTAAGTTTCCCTTTAATAAACATGGCTCTAAATTAGAGACAGAACAGTGTTTTTTTTTTACTGTACATGTCCATCACGAAATACCTTCTAACCTAATTGTCCTCCATTTTCCCCTCTTGCTCTTTTTCTGTCTTCTTATTTATCTGTTTTTGTGTTGCTTTGCGGCTTTTCTTTGTCGTTGTATTGATACTTGTGTAATTTAACTTCTTTCATGTTATTTTTTAAGCAGTAGGAGGTTTTGTTTTGAGAAAGTTTTGTTCAAAGTAACACAAAATCTGCTGTCCATAATTGAACAGAACAGTAACTAGAATCAAATGTGGTGAGGTCAGACCTCAGAACAGCTGTGGTTTGGCCAGAGACTTAACTGCTCGCTATGTTTATCTCGAGACGCTAACTTTACGCAGAGGGATTTTGATTTCTTCAGATGTTCAGATATGCAGCCCACATACTTGCGCTAAAAACACAGCTATGAAATAAATGTAAGAGTTAGTTGGTCAGTCCAGTAAATTAGCTGCTCGGTTTAGACTTAAGCTCTGTAGTTAGCTACATTAGCAATTAGATTAGCAATTAAAGTTGCATTGTGTTACTCATGACATACTACAATGAGAGAAAAGTTAACCATTAACTAGCATAGTGAGGGCAATGTATCATTAACATAATTAAAAAATCAACAGGTACATTTGGCTGTACTTTGCCTCATTAACTGTATGAATAGCCTACCTGCCTGTTAGCTAGCTGGGTTTCGGTAGAGAAAGACTCTTATAACGTATGTTTAATGTATGCTTAACTATAATCTGATTTGTAGATTCTAACATGTATTTTTAGCTGAAAATAACTATGTAAATAAATAGATAATTGATTAGTTAAATAGCCTGAATTTAAAAAGGGTAACAGGAGTCGAATCAGTCAAATCAACAGTAATAGCTGTTTATGGAAGAATGAAAAGGTACATAATTGTGAGTGAGTAAAAAAGGAGCAGTGATTTGGTAAAAAATGAAATAAAAACATATCAAGTAACCAATGAAAATTGGTATAATACACATGTTCAACAGTTAGTTTATTCACCATGTGATATAGGTCACTCTGATAAACTGACCTCACCACATTTGATTCTAGTTACTGTTCTGTTCAATTATGGACAGCAGATTTTGTGTTACTTTGAACAAAACTTTCTCAAAACAAAACCTCCTACTGCTTAAAAAGCAGTTATTACATTCTTAATTTTTTTTAACTGTATTTCTGAAGCATTTCTGTAATAAAACATACACTCTTTAAAAAGATGGTTCTTCAAGGGTTCGTTAGTAAAGGGAATAGTTCTATTTAGAACCATGAGCTCTATATAGAACCTTTTCATGCCTAAATGGTTCTTTTCATGGTGAAATGGTTCTTGTGACTGATGGCGAATGTGTTTTAAATGTGAATGTTTAATGACGAATATGGCTTTATGTGACATGTTTAGGTAATTATCTGTATTTTTATTTGTAAACAATTATTTGTAAACCTACAAACACAACTAGAGCCGTTTAACCGTTGGCTGAGAAAATACCATGAATGCTACATTCTTACAGAGCCACGAATACTGTATAAAAGAGTTTCACACTGTTAAAGTTTCAGAATGTACTGTTCACTTCCCAGGCCTTACATTCCTTATATGGAAGCTGAAAAACTTCTGAGCCAGTCAGAACAGAGCTCATTTACATATACCAGTCTTAAAGGCACCATAACAAAAACAGCTTGTTTAGTTTTAAGGGATGAAGAGAGGTTGGAAATGGTCATGTAAAAATGAATTATGACTGTTTTTGATATGAAAACCCACACAATCGTTATACATGGACCTCAGTGGGAAAACAATTTAATACAAGGAAGATGTAGGACACGGGCCCTTTAAGATTTCTGCAACTCTCTGCCACCTACACGGTGTCCCACAAGCCGGAGCCGGTTTATGAGGAGCCTGGCCACTTCCTATTCCCCACCATTATATCAAATGCAAAGGAAACTCACCTGTATGTTTCCTTTACTCTACAGAAAACGGGTTTGGGGCAGCAGAAGGCGGGCATTAGTGCTAGAGCGTGATGATTGATTGGCGAGCGGAGCAGCTCATTGGCTGTTCGCGCTCACTGACGTCATGAACATACATGAGGCGCCTTTTAAACTCCTATAATTCGAGTTTAAAAGCTCTTAAAAATATAACAGCGGTGTTAAAATGTTTTATGCTGCTCTGTGTTCAGGAAATGATTGTATTCTTTTATATTAAAAATGTTTAAGCATTTATAAACTATGATTTTGCTCAAACGCTCCATATAAACTCATTCATTTGGACTCACTCGGAAAAATAATAGAATACATTCATTTCCTGAGCACTGAACAGCTTAAAACATTTTAACACTGCTGTTATACTTTTAAGAGCTTTTAAACTCCAGTTATAGGAGTTTAAAACGGCGCCTCATGTACGTTCATGACGTCAGTGAGCGCGAACAGCCAATGAGCTGCTCCGCTCGCCAACCAATCATCACGCTCTAGCACTAATGCCCGCCTCCTGCTGCCCAAAACCCGTTTGTTGTAGAAAAAAGGAAACATACAGGTGAGATTTCTTTGTTTTTTTAGTGAAATACATCCTTCTACTGTCTAAAATTAAAGAAACCTCCTGGGCGAGTGATTAGAAACCCTTTTAACTTTTCACTTTTAGCCGTTGAGCTCCATTCACTCCCATTCATTGAGGACTCCCTCGCGGGCGCCCTCTGCTGTTTAGCAGTCCTGTTTTTGACATAATGGGGGGAATAGGAAGCGGCTCTGGCAGGACCCAACGCGGCATCTAGGCACGTGTATCTACGGCTGGACCCTTCTCCAGCCGTGTGCACCGCCCATAGGTAGAAACTTAGTCATTTCGGTTTGTATTTTCTGCAGAGCTGACCATGAGGGTCTTTGACGAAGATGCACATTTTTATTCCAACGCATCTTAAAAGAGAGAGCGAGAGAAGATGGAAAGGGGAGGAAAGACGGCGCTTTTTTGGCTCCATGTTTCCTGTGTTTTTTCCTCTGCCTCGTCAGGTGAGATAGTAGGTTATGACGCACTTGAAACGAACCCCACCTCAGCAAAAGCATGATGTATTTTAACCCGTTTAAACTTAACGAATGAGTGCAGAACTGCATATTCTCATTAAAACGGCCAGATATTATCGACGCAGATAACTGTCCGCGCAGTAGTATCGAAGACTTCGGCTCTGCTACGAGTGAGTTATGTATCTCTGAACTTTGCTTAAGTCCTTAAAAATTAATTTCACAGCAGTGCAGGGAAATGTCAAGTCCGTAACATCAGCATACGGAGCATTTAACGTTGCATTATTAGGCGTTGGCCATGTTGGAAAATAAAACAAAGAAAAATGCATCAAAGGGGCCGCTCCCACCTGTGGAACCTGGAAAAGCATGGAATTCTGGAATTCTATTCCAACTGTACATATATCCAAACTGTACATATATCAAAGGACTTGAATGAAATCGCGTTTGTATATTGCTTAAAATGGCACTTAAAGTGAGGGCTGAGGGGGCGGGGCGGTGAGGGGCTTGACTGGGCATGTAAAGTTCCCGCTTGTAGGATTTTGTTTGTCCCAGATGTTTTTAATTAGCCTACAAAATGTGCAGTTTTAACTGTTTTATTTAATGTGAGGATCTACACATCAACAAAACGTGCAGCGGTTCAGCATTGCTGATTGGCCTATACTGTAAACAGAAACACAACAACAAGAACAAATAAGAGAGAAACATGTTCGTCATAGACAATTAAACAATGAAGAACAAAGTGTGAAAAACTTCATATTCAAACATTAGAAATTCTCCTCTCCTCTGTTCTCCACTAATCTATTCTACTCTCTTCTCCTCTGTTCTGTTCTCATCTCATCTGTTCTCCTCTGTTCTGTTCTCATCTCATCTGTTCTCCTCTGTTCTGTTCTCTACACATCTATTCTCCTCTGTTCTGTTCTTCTCCCCTGTGTTCAACAGTCCTCAGTTTTATTCTCCTTTCCTCTAGTCTATCCTCGTCACCTCTGTTCTGTTTTCCTTTATTCCATTCTCCAGCAAGGACTCTAGTTTGTCAGCTGTTCACACATGATTGATGCTGGCTAAGCAGGTACACCTGTGAAGGGAGAGACAGGGAGAAAGAAAGAGACACACAAACATAGTGATAAAATCCATCTCTTCCACAGGTCTCATTTCACATTCTTCTAAGAACCTCTTTAAATATTACTCTTTCTAGCAGGGAATCTCTGCATTGGAGGAAATCTCAAATATTTTTACCTCTATTGAAGCACTTTCTGAACATCAGATGGGTCTGTAATGTTAGTATATAAATAAGGCAGATTGCAAGTGCGATGTGACTTTATTAAGGGCATTCCAGTACTCATTGTCCATAAGACAGACAGGGGTCGCCTACAGAGCAGGGCTAGTAGCCTCTTAATGAAGCAATGCTCTTTTTTAGTTCCAAGGGGCATGATTACACTCGAAAACAAGTTGAAGTTGTACAAATACGAAATGGGATTGGCCCCAAGTTGAGTTCCCCCAGAGGAGGGATATTGTCCAAGTTAGTGCATAGTACAGTGCCCAAACTTTTGCATAAGACTACACACAGCCTCATATCTTCACTGGAGTGGCTATGTTAGACCCAGCAATATTTAGGGGTTATGAGAGAATAATATATGGCTGGGTAATAACTTAATACTGTAGCATTAGCAGGAACTTCCTGGCACTGGATTCGCCTCTAATGGAATCTACCCTGCATCATTAAACAGGCGCATGTACTGAGCTGTAAAACATACTTAGCTGATATGATAAGTGCTAAAGGTTACTATTTCATAGTGAATGTTAGTCACTAACGTTTGATAGTTACCTCAGCACATCATCGCCTGCTTCATATAACGTAGCTTACTGAGGAGAACTGCTGAAAAATACTGGCCGAATTAGTAGTGTGGCCATAATTCACTGAAGATCAAAATAATGGTGTAATAAACCAGGTAACCTTTAAATACAGTTTCACTTTGGAAAAATTGAAAGTTTTTCATTTTGTCCCGTTTTCCATTATGTTACGTGTTAAATATTATGTTATTGTATTGTAATATGTGTCATATATTCCCCTACTATTTATACTCTCCTGAACACTCTTAAAATCTTCAGTTACAGTAATGATGTAGTAATGCATAGACCTTTTAAATGTAGAAAGCCAATGTTGGCTGCTTTCATAGGCAAAATGAACAAGAATAATGTTAGATTTATGTATTCCATTACTCAGCAAGGCATACAGAACACCGATAAATTGTCAGGCCAAACTGTGACGTTTGGTATTTATTGAGGAATCATGTAAGTGCTCAGCTGTTTCATTACCATATATATTGTATGATATCAAGCTACTTGTTTTCTTATAAACATAATAACTGGCTTGTTTTGATGTTTTACAGTAATCCATTTTCATCATGCCATGTTCACGTATACAACTGGATTAGTGACCATTCCTGACCGTATGGCTGTAACATACATTGATGATGTGCAGATTACTCGCTATGACAGTCGTAGCAAGACACTCACTAGCTCCTGTGGATGGGTGAAAACAGCCATGAATGAATCTTGGAAGTATTATGAAGACTTGTGCACATCAGCATGTAACAGACGGAGAGAAGACTTCAGTGAATTTGCAGTGTATGTTGGAAAAAAGGAAGGTGAGTGTGTCTTGAATCTAGCCTATTCAGGCATTCTAATAGATTTTGTTGCCAATTCAGAATTCTTGTCAGTTCTAAGATTGCAGACCAGAGCTTCTGAGAAGCACAGCCTAAAACTATGGGGCAGATTAAAAACTCAGTGCTTACTGCACTATGCCATGCAAAATGTGTGCTGTTCATAAAGCTGAAAGAGTTTTCTCTAAATTGGCTGGGCAGCCCACCCCTAAAACTCATGTGCCACATAATTTGGACAAATATTTCAAGTTCTGCTTGATATATACATACATATGGCCACACACAGCAGTTGAATTCTGAATATGACAAGCCAACATAAAATCAACCTGTTGAATATGCTGAGATACTCATAATGGAGATGCATGATGGTGATATTTCGTGAATTTAACAGGATTTTATATTGAACTCAAAAGCAAACTTACAGCACTGCATAAGTGGATGTAGGTGTCTGCGAATAGTGTCAACAGATCCTCATGATCAACAAGCGACTTAAAATCTTAGGGTTTAGGACTTGTAGCATTAGGAGTTCGGCTCAGAACAAACTGCACAGTGATCAGGACCAGTCACAGTCAAGGGGAGGTCTTAGAGGTCTCGGTTTTTAAAAGGAGGTGCCATTAGTTGTCAAGTAGCCTGTGATACACTGTATGGCCAAAAGCATGTGCACACACCTCCTAATTATTCAGGTGTTTTAGCCACAGCCATTGCTAACAGGTGTATATTAAGCACAGAGCCATGTAGTCTTCTTAGCCTGCTAGATCTGTCTCAGTCTACTGTGCTCTAATGGAGAACTGGAAATAGGCTCCAGAGGAACACCCTGACATCCCTTTGCGATGAGTTGGAACTTTGATTGCAAGCCAGGTCTTCTAGGCCAACATCAGTGCCTTATAATAGAAATGCGATTAGCCCTGTTTTGGACTATGTAGCGAAAGCTAACAGTAAGTTTTCATGATCATTATAAACAAATACTTGTTTAGCATAAAGTATGTAGAGCCACATCCTCTCCTTCAGTTTTATAGCAAATTGGGTGACTGTGTTAACCCTCTATTGCACGGTTACTTTATCTCAATTTTACTAAATGGCAATCAGCTAAAATAAGTGTTCTCCTATTTAATTGTGGAAAAAGGGTCTTTTACTTTGAAAGGATAAATAATTTGACATCACATGACCAGGAATTTTTAGTATTATGTTGTTATTACCATATATTACAAATACCAATTGAAAATGTATTAGTTTGCAATATTTATGAATATTAGTTGTAGGTTTTTACTAAGTATAAGTTGGATTTGTTTGGTCTTGTTTTTCAATAAAAATAATGTTTTTAGAGAAAAATTAGATTTTATGGTGCTTTTTTTAGATTTTATGGTGCTATGGTATGATTGCACATTCCCAAATACCCCACTTTTTAAAAAAAAATATTTCTATTATTTAAGCAATTTTAAATAACAAACACATTAAAACATTTTATCATGTTTAAGTAATAGTTCATGCAATAGAGGGTTAACAGCTTTTCCCCTAACAATCAAGAATGTAGCATTTGGCTGAAAAAAGAGTCTGAAATAATGTAATGGTTTTTTTTTTTCTTCCAGATGTGCAGACGTTTCAGTGGATATCTCACTGTATTTACGATGATCAGAAGGGTGTTTGTGAAGGATACGAGAAGTATGGATATAACGGAGAGGACTTTATATCACTGGAAGTAAAGCAGATGAGATACGTCCCTCACACGCCAGATGCAGCCCACATCACAGACATCTGGAACAAACAGAGAGATCGGATTGATCAAGTAAAGCACTACTTCACCAAAGAATTTCCTGTTTATCTGAAGAGAGCTGCCCCCTATCTGACGACTGCAGGTACTCTAAGATTATTTTAGAGTGAAATGATTCTGTCTGTATGCAGCGGTGGTAAAAGTATGGAAGCCTTCACTTGAGATGAAAAACTATAGACTTCGTAGAAGATCATGGAAGTTCTAGAAAAATGAAGATATAGGACTTTATCTAGGTTGTTAATGTTAAATGAATTCCTTAGAAGTGAAAGTAAACAAGTTATTTAGTTTACCTCTTCAAGCATGATGGGTATACAGTTTTTGCTACATTTATTTAAAGGAAAAGCTACTAGACAAGCTATTAAACAGTAGTGTATGTTGCATTGTGCTCACATGCATAATATTCCATCAAGTGATATGTTCTTTCTCTTTTTATATTACAAAAAGTACTGAAGTAACATTTTTATTCTAAATGTAATGTGGTTGAAGGTAATGTTGCTAAAAACTGTGTAGTAAATTATGGATCCTCCAAAAGCTGCTTGTAGTTTAAAACATTCTCAGATACTTTGCACCACTGCTTTACTGTAAAGGTTTTTAGAGTTTTAAAAAGGGTATTATTTATTTATTTATTATTTTTTTTTAATGCAGGGTTTTTGTCTTTGCTTTTAAGTATCATGTCCCCTATTTATTGATACTGTATTGCAGCATCATATGTGTCAAGGTATCTCTTTCTCTCAAAACGACATGCACATGACTTCTCCAGTACTTGGAGTCCTCATAGGGTCTAACAACGTGCAGGACGAGAAAATGTTTCCGATGCAGTGGTTGTGGAGTTTATTAGCTAAGTGTAAACAATATATTGACCAATATTTTAAGCACATAAAGAAGCTCTGTTTAGTGTTATTTAATTAAGATGAAGTACTACTGAATTGCAAAAAAGCCTATAGGTTAAACTTTTCAAGCCTAAAGGTTAAAGTAGTTCACAAATATTCCATTGGATATTATCTAAAATGTTCTATAAGCTATGTGTGTCACTTTAATGACTAAACGGAAAAAAATCTTATCTGTATTATTATTGTTATTTTTATTTATTTATTTATTTAACTTCACACACTGCAACATAATGGAAAAACATCACTGATAAACAATTATTGGTATAGCAAGTAACGTAAAATGCTGATGCTAGGATTCCTGCTCAATCTGGCAACCCGGAGCAGGTTGCTGAGACAGTTTTAGAGTTTCAGTGTTGAGTAGTGCCAGAGAAACTGTGTCTTTTTAACCTCCTTGGCTTAAAAATGGAAAACAACTTCTGGTCAGCTCTTGTAAGCGAGCAAGGAGATGACCATGTTTTAGATCCACCTAAAACCACTTTATATCCAAGCATGTGCCAAATTTAGCTGTAGCAGTCTTAACGCTTGATGCACTTTTAGTACATTTCTTTCTGCTCCGGATGGACGGCTCACTAGCCTGCACGATGTTACTTGTTGTTGGGATGCTAGCTAACAGCAGAGCTGTAGGAAAGGCATCTGGACTGCCCGGGGCAATTATAACTGGCTTAATAACATCCCATCATACACTGGGAGAGAGAGAGTGTTGTTTCAGGATAGATTTGTTTCCATCAATTATGTCTTTTTTGCTCCTGTGCAACTCACACATCTTTCGTTCCTATTCATCTAGTTCATTAGTTAATTCCTATTAGCGATAATATCTCTACCATTGAGAAAAATCATCTTGAACTTCATATTTCTGTGTTAACTGCCTGTATCTAATGCTGTTCCACGTTACTCATCGATGCTGTGTTTTCTCCTCTTCTGTTTCTTCCTTCGCAGTTTTTCCTGACGTCTATCTGTTGCAGAAGAACTCCTCCTCTCCGGTGGTGTGTCTTGCTACAGGGTTCAACTCCAGTGCAGTGACCATGATCTGGCGAAAAAATGGACAGGACCTTCATGAAGACGTGGATGAAGGAGAGACTTTACCCAATGGTGATGGAACCTTCCAGAAGAGGATTTCCCTCAAAGTGGAGACTGAAGAGTGGAAGGAGAACCAGTACCGCTGTGTGGTCCAGCAAGAGAACTGGAAGAAGATGATCATCAAAAACGTAACTGAGGATGAAATTAAGCATAGTAAGATTGTTTGATTATTACAGGTGTTATGACACAATAAAATAGTCATTTGAACTACATTCTTAAGAAATAAGGTTCTTCAAGGGTTCTTCAGTAAAGCATATAGAACCATGAACACTCAAAGAACCCATTGCATGGTTAAAGTGTTCCTTGCATCCTGAAAGATTCTTCGGATTGATGGAGAATGTGCTGTAGATGATTCTATATAGAACCTTTTTTGAGATCGGTTCTAAATAGCGCCCAAAAGGGTGCTTCTGTTGTTACGATGTCAAGCTTCTAACAACAGAAGAACTCTTTTGGGTGCTATATAGAACACTTCTCAAAAAGGTTCTATAGAGAGGTTCTATAACCATGCATAGCACATTCATTGCACATTTTCCATCAATCGGAAGAACCTTTCATGATGCAAAGAACCCTTTAACCATGCAAAGGTTCTTTGAGTGTTCATGGTTCTATGTACTTTACTAAAAGTGAAAGATATATTTTAAACCACTGTAATGAACATAATTTAAATTGTTTTTTTTATTAAATATAATAATTTTAGTTTTTCAGGATACTTCATCAGAAATACCAACAAGTATCCAAAGCATGTAAAGCTATCAGTTATTGCCATTATATATATACAGTACATGAATTGTAGCTTATATATACACTCTCAGAAATAAAGGTATGAATCACTGGGGCAGTGACCCTCTTGTCATTGGGGTCTTCTCCTCAAGGGTACATCTCGGTAGTCAGGGAACATAATTGTACCATTATCCACTGAAATTATATTACCTAAGTACTGACTCCGCACACCCCGTCTCGTCTCCAGGCTTTTTATTTTACTGTTCTGTTTTAAAATATTAGGTTATGGAAAGATCTTTATTGTAAAGATTGTATCTATTTCTAACAGTGTAGACTGTATGACTTATGATGCTGAGTTGACTCTTTCAGACTGAGTTGTGAATGTTGCTTTGTTCAGTGGTATTGATTAGATTTATACTTGATTTGTTTGCAGACCTAAAACACAGAACACATGTGGCGGCCATCATCAGCACCATCATCTTTTTACTTGTTTTACTTCTTTTACCTTTTTTGATGAGACTCCACAGAGGATGAGATGGGACAGCCATCTTACACACCAGCCACAGTTTTTTTTTTATTTATTTTTTTTTGTTTAACAACAGGAGAAGCAGATAAAAAAACTGCTATGGCAGATGTGTTTCCAGCCTGCATGGGCATCTGTTCTGTTACACAGTATCTAGTACCTTTGGATAACACAGGACAGCTCAGCATGCATGGACAGGATCTCCAGCTCTTAAACTTGAACAAATCTTTGGCCTGTTTACAATGTTCTGTGGCCCTGAAGATGAGTGGAACTGGAAGTCTGTGGAGAGGCAGAAGGACTGTGTTTATTTTCATGATAATGTATTTTAAGATAATGCTTCAGTTTGTTAGTATTGACTGATGCCATTACTGTTTGCTGCTATTTGTCAGAGCTTTTTTGTAGAAGTAAAGTATTAGCTCTTTTAGATACCTTCACTACTGCACTACTGTAACTACTGTAGTTACAGTCCTTGCACTGTGTGATGGGTATACTTGTGCATTGCATTGAGTCAAACTCTGGTTCTGTGAAATAGTCTAATGGGCCAAACAATCCCCAGAGAATGCAAATCTGGAGACAACCTTTAAAAAAAAATTAGCGCTGGATTGTTGCGAATGCTACCGCAAATGAGACCACGGCCACTGGTTGTCCCTCCAAAACCTGCCCCTAAATTTGCTAGCAAGCATTTGGTTTTCAGAATAAATGTTTCAGGAAAACTTTTCACTTTAGTTTTCTGAGGGGTGCGTTTGATGCACAAAAACTATTCCAAACCTCATATAAACCTCAGTACCTCAGTTTAAGACACTACCTCAAATAGTCAAAGACTACCTCAGGAGAAAAGAAATGTCTTGGCTCGTTTGCACGTTGTTCATTGTGTTAGTCATCTAGACATAAATTAAAGTACAAGAGAAATAAAATAAAAGTCTATTTAACAACGGATTGTAAGTCAGTAAATTACTAAGAAATAAACACATAGATACAGTAAGTTAATATGGGATGCTTTTCACTTTGATTTCTTTAAATGTTGACGTTTTGTCTGTAAACTTGCAGACAGCCTCTTACAGAAAGAAGTCAGTATTTTTCCACTCAGCATTGATGCCTTTAAACAGTTGAAAAACTGGCCCATTATATAATCCCACCCACATTCAGCTCAAGTTGTCTCCAGCTATGTGTTCATGTTGGAAGATCTGTCTTGTCCCACAGACTACCACTCATAAAACCAACCTCAGTACTCATAGAAACAGTGCCCTAGCTATGCAGGAGTTTTTCATCTTTTTTCATTTTGTTATTCTTTCATTACTGTTTAATTCATTTCAAGTCAATGGAGAAAGTCTAAAATGTTTTAGTTTGTCATAGTGTAGTCATAGTGGTGTTTTCTTCCCGTAATTTGATGCACATTCATTCGCTTGTCCTTAATTTGGGTTGTTCCACTGTTGGTGACCACTGGTAATTCTATATACAAATAGTCAGTCTCAGAAAATGAACAAAGCAAGAGTGGTCCAGATTGGTGCACTAGACCCTGGAGAATGCATATCTGCATTCTCAAATGTGCTTTTTGAGAATGCAGATATTCTTGTTTTTTTTTTTACTTTAATGCTTAAAACCAGTTAAGTCCCCCTTTAAGTACATCAGACCTTAAACCAAGTTAAGGCTGGGTCTTGCAGGGGCCTTGTTAGGAGTCAAATGCAGTGGTAAAGCTATAAAACCTACCTCTGTTCTCAAACAAAATGTGATGTGCTGGAGTGAGGAATCACTTTTTGAGCCCATTTTTTACAAATGTTAAAAAAATTTTTGTTATTTACATTAAATTATCCATTACTTAATTCATTCATGTAAGGTCATTGTGCTCATTGTTTTATCTAATGCACATATTATTTTAATTGCACTTACTTTGGGTCACTTCACTGTTGATGGTGTCTGCTGGTATGATGCTGCCAAATGACTGCACTTTAAAAATGAACAGGCTCTTTGAAAATGAACAAAGCAAGAGGGGCCTCATCTGCTGCTGCACAGTTTATGTAGTCTAGTCCTTCATCAGTGGTCAAAGGACATTGCCAGCTGGATATTTTTGGTTCTCAGTCCAGCAGTGACACTGAGGTGTTTAAAAACTACAGCAGCACTGCTGTGTCTGATCCACTTAGACCAGCGCAACACACACTAACACACCACCACCACGTAAGTTTTACTGCAGTGCTGAGAATGACCCACCACCCAAATAGTACCTGCTCTGTGAGGGTCCTGGGGGTCCTGACCACTGAAGAACAGGGCAAAAGGGCGCTAACAAAGTATGCAGAGAAACAGATGGACTACAGTCTGTAACTGTAGAACTACAAAGTGCACCTATATAGTAAGTGGAGCTGATAAAATGGACAATGAGTGTAGAAACAAGGAAGTGGACTTAATGAAGTGGCTGTCTGGTGTATATTTGCTCTTATTTTAAGATCTATAGTAAAACAGCCTGAGTGTAAAAAGCACTATACTGAAGTAACTTCATTATATTGAAAGTACGACTACAGGAAGAAAAGCTAGCCCCTCTAATTGCTGTGGTTAAGGTTGTAATAGTAACATCAGGTTAAAGACTGACCATGCTCATTAAAAAAAGGCCTCTCACTCCTTCTTGTAGGCTGGCTACGCCCGACTAGACTATAGAGTTACAACCTGGAAGCTGTGGCTAGACAGATTTGTTTGCTGGAGTTACCATTATTTATTCAATTAGGGTTTGCTGGGTTTATAATTGCTTACAGTGTGTATTAAATCTTTTGAGATGGAAAGACTTACTGAAGGGTTCAGTCGGCGACATGCGAAACCACACTGTATTCTCCACTGTGTATCTTCATCAGGATTTTTTTTAATGAAAAGTATGTTGTGCAAAGTATGTTCTGCTGACTGTTCTCTAGAACTGACCGCTCTAGCCAGCATTTCACTGTGCAGCGCTGACAGACATGTAACTATGGAGACGAAACCACAGAGACAAAAACACTCTTAATGCCATCATTTTACAGCAGTGGTTCCTGACCCTGGTCCAGGAGGACCCCCTACCCTGCACATATCAGTGTTTACTCTGCTCCCAACACACCTGATCTGATTAAGCATTTAATTAGCAAGCTCTCTCTGGCTGAAGTGGGTGTTTTAGAGCAGAAACACAAAATTGTGCAGGGCAGAGGGCAGAGGGTACGCCAGGACCATGATTGGAAACAATGTTGGGTCATGAACATATCATCACTGTCCAAAGAAAAAAATGTATCTCAATTTTCATCGATTTGTATTTTTTCCATCATTTGAACACACCAGCTGCCCATTTGCTTTGTGTTCATGATGAATGGACCAAAAGAAATGCTCCAAAATCACAGATTTTACAAGAAATAAATGGAAATATATTTGGGCGCTTATTATATAGTGTGCTTTAACTGCTATACTTTGCCTGGGATTTCACTGCTGGACCTTGGATTCAGAGTTCAGAGCAAGGCCCAATCCCGTTTCTTCTTTTTACCCCTACCCCTTGTTTTCGAGTGTCACTCTAACCCCTTGGAACTGAGTTACAAGGGGTAGTGGTTAAAATCTTGCCCTACAAAATGGGACCCTCAAATAAAAAAGAGCATCACTACATTAACAGCTACTAGCGCTGCTCTGTAGGCGATACATTAAAACTAAAAATAATACAGGAAGATTCACTCGAAAGAGGCCCTGAATATTCTGCTGTAACTCCCGTTAGGATGAAGCAAACTGAACCAAACAAATGGCACTGAATGAAAAAGACGCTCTCCTTCTGACCTTTCATGTCTGCTGACCATGGTGTAAGTAGCAGTCAGCTGATACTGTAAGAATCACCAGTCTCTCAGCTTGGAGCTGCTATCACATCAACTATAGACACTGGCTGATGCAGTGCAGTATTCAGGCCTTGCATGCCCCTTTTTTCAACTCCAGATTTCTCCCAATGTTTTCCCTACAGCATTCCATTATATTAAAGGTTTCTTTTTAATAGGAATGCTGGAATTAGGTGAGGGTATCACCCATGCTTTGGAGATAATGCATCCTTCATGGTGTCATAAAATGTGTATTAAACTACATCTAAAATGTAGATTACAGTACAGAATTAGCATCTTCTACTTTGGTCTGCGTGTAGAAAAGCAATTAAGAACAACTGGCTGTTCCTCCTGCAACTTGTCCATGTTTTCTCACTTTCTGCCTATTAGAAATAATATGTATCAGTACTTTCTTGATAAGACTAACCCAACAAGAGTATGTGAGTGCCAGCAAACTATACTGCTCAAACTATACTGTAATCACGCTATAGTGTGCTCCCACTCCGTTCCGAGTTTTCTATTTCTCCCTCCTTTCACCTTTTGTTCACAGAGAAAATCTGCTCCATGTTCCTTTTATATTATTCATTTATATGATATATTTGATTCTTACATCTTGAATGTCTGGACAAGAGACTTAGCACTTTCAGTTTGTATGTTTTTGGCATTTTATACTGGGTGCAGCTTGCGCGTACTTCAGTTTGACTTCGCTGAAGCGTGTCCAAAAAAGTAAATGGTGAACCGTGACTGTTAAACTGAGCGTTCCATAAATATCAAAACTCTGTGTCTACGATACAATAATGTCAATTTCTAAATGCGCCCCACTGGGTTTCTAGTACTATGTTAGCGCTAAGCTAACGGCTTGCATATAAATCTTTTTCGGCCATTCTAGATTAAAGATGGACATTTGCAGCTTGTAATGACAGGCATTAATACATAAACAATAAATCAATATGGTAACAGACATTTCCAAACATTTTGTCTTATTGCAAGTTTACAGTGACTCTCTTAGTAAATAGCATAGAGCATGTGATGCCAGGCTTGTTACAATAGAATAACCAATTTTAGTGCTGTATAGAACCCTTTTCAGTAAGGTTCTATATAGAACCATCTACAGCCCATTTTGCATCAGTCTGAAGAACCATTTCATGATGCAAAGAACTCTTTAATCATGCGAAGTGTTCTTGGAATGTTCATGGTTCTAAATAGAGGAAGTTTTTTCTTTATTAATTCAGCAATTTTTTGAACTCCATTGGTTATCTTGACAAATTTCGCTCAGGCTTCCGACTTCACCACAGTCCTGAAAGTGCTTTCATAAAAGTGTTAAATGTAGCAACAGATATGATGTTAAAAATGACATTTTGAAAAATCTGAAGATGAAATCACAATAAAATAAAAAAGTAAATAAAGGTTACATTTTCAAGCTGACTAATTTTCGCAACATTCCATCTGTCAGTCAGTCCTTTTGGGCAGGTCAAACCTGGCACTGGCAGTAAACTGATGTAATGCAGCCAAACTATACATTAACTTCCACTGTAACATCATTAAAATGTATAGCAAGGGCATACCTGCACCTACCAAGCTATGGATAAGCTCAGAATTTGGGAGGTTTTGGGAACGACACAAAAAAGAACTTCACAATAATGTACACAACAGTGTAGAGCAACCAGTGAAGAACATATCCACCAACATATGGCACAAGCTGCAGAGTGTATTGACCTTCATCCCAACCTCTATTCACAAGCAAAACATACAGACAGATAATAAAGCATATTAGCTCTATTGTTTTTAGCCTCAAAAAACCTTGAAGGGCTGCTTTTATGAGGTGATTGTGCTTACAATCCTGTCTGAGCAGGACTTTTCCATCTTTCTGCCACTTTGGCAGCAAAGCCTGCATCGGCCTGAGACAATGAATAGGACCTCACTCACACTTTGTCCCCACTGTGGAAACATGCTGGAGTCGTCCAAACATTATAGTTCTTGGTCAGCTTGAACTGGACTCTTTTTTACCTGGTCCTGCCGGATTAGCTATTTCGGTCACTGTATCAGCTCATAAATGTCATAATCAGAAACTTTTACACTCTTAAAGAAAAAAGATACTAAACTGTCACTGCCACTGGGGTGGAACCCTTAAGGGTCCATCTCAGTACCTTTAGTCAGGGAACATAACTGAACCATAATCCAGTGAAATGATTTTATTTTACTGTTCCTTTTTAAAACATTAGGTTATGAGCTATAAATATGTACTTTTCCACTGGGAAAAAAACTATTTTGGCACACAGTTGGACTTTAAAACCACTGTAGTACCTCTGAGAGTTCACTTACATTGTTTGTACCTTAATGA